GGGAAATAACACATTTAGCACCTAGACAGACAGACAGACAGACAGACAGACAGACAGACAGACAGACAGACAGACAGATTCCTGGGTAGACTTACACTTTTCTGGAGCTGTATGAGGTCGCTGCTGCCAGGTGCCGCCATGATTTGGACACTGGGTAGGCTTATGGTCTCACCCTATTTCACTTTAGTTCAGTCTCCTGAGAAAACAACTGCGTATTTGGGATGTTGAGAAACACAGTGCCTTGTCAACAACTTATTAGAAACAAAGATTTAATTATTTCAGTAGAGCTTTTTCTCATATTTGTTTTTTTTTCTATTCTTTCCATTATGAAAACTGTTCAACTATTTCTTTTATTACAAGAAAAGAGTTGAACAAAAATAGTTGGCAAAATCAATGCAGGTTTCTACAATAAATTTTTGATTGTTATTTCTTTAAACTGAGACAGACACAAACTGCTGTTTCCTCAGCATTTAGCAGCTTTGCAGCCAAAGAAATTACAATGACTGCATACTTATTTAGGATGGAATGTGATAGGCAAAATGTTGCTGTTTGCTAAAAGTCTTGACCACATTACCCATCCACATTTCTGAAAGGTTTTGCATAGGTGAAACATTTAATTCATCTTTAAAAGCTCCAGTCATGCGTCAGCCCAAACTTTGCTCCTCCTCCTCCCTCTTTATCTGTGAGCGGATAGGATGGTCTGAGGGTGTGTGTGTGTGGTACATCAGCAGAGGGAGAGAAAGTGAGACCAGGGAAAGACCACAGCCATCGTGAAGTGATGATCAGTCACACGACAAGCTGCTGCACTCTGCTTCTCTGGATCCAGCTGATTATTTTCCACCCTCGCCTGGTTTCCTCTCTTCTTTTCTTCCTCACCTTGTTTTAGTGAACATTTCTTGTCGCCTCTCATTACACCAAATCAGCAGGATTGTTTTTTTTGGTAGAGAATAAAACAACGGCAGATGTTTGAGGAGGAGCTGAATTTCTCCTGGAAAGACTGAAAGATGAAAAAGGGAAGAATAAACACAAGTTAGACATTTTTATCATTTCTGATTGAGGATGTTTCAAAGCCACATGTGCTGAGCTTTAAGACTTTTTACAAGAAAGAGAAGAAGATCTAAGCCAAAGGAGGTGGAAGAAGTCAACATGAACTCCACAGCTCAGCAAGGATTGATCCCTGGCTACCTGAACAGGACTCTCTGCTCTGGAACTCTGGCAGACAAAGACTTATCTGGAGAGGAGAAGGATTCCTCTGCTGGATGCTACGAACAGCTGCTGATTTCCACTGAGGTGTTCCTTACTCTAGGCATCATCAGCCTGTTGGAGAACATCCTGGTGGTTGCTGCCATCATCAAAAACAAGAACCTTCACTCCCCGATGTACTTCTTCATCTGCAGCCTTGCTGTTGCGGACATGCTTGTTAGTGTCTCCAACGCCTCAGAGACTATTGTCATAGCACTGATCAATGGAGGCACCCTGACCATCCCCGTCACGCTGATCAAAAGCATGGACAACGTCTTTGACTCCATGATCTGCAGCTCTCTGCTGGCCTCCATCTGCAGCTTGCTTGCGATCGCCGTCGACCGCTACATCACCATCTTCTACGCACTTCGATACCACAACATTGTCACCATCCGGCGAGCGATGCTGGTCATTGGCAGCATCTGGACGTGTTGCACCGTCTCTGGCATCTTGTTCATTATCTACTCAGAGAGCACCACTGTGCTCATCTGCCTCATCACCATGTTTTTCACCATGCTGGTCCTCATGGCGTCGTTGTACGTGCATATGTTCCTCCTGGCCCGCCTGCACATGAAGCGCATTGCGGCCCTGCCGGGCAACGCGCCCATCCAGCAGCGAGCCAACATGAAAGGTGCCATTACCCTCACCATCCTGCTCGGGGTGTTTGTGGTGTGCTGGGCACCCTTCTTTCTGCACCTCATCCTCATGATCACCTGCCCCAGGAACCCCTACTGCACCTGCTTCATGTCCCATTTCAACATGTACCTCATCCTGATCATGTGCAACTCCGTCATCGACCCCATCATCTACGCCTTTCGCAGCCAGGAGATGAGGAAGACCTTCAAAGAGATTTTCTGCTGCTCGCAGGCTCTCTTGTGTCTTAGCTTCCTGTAAGGAGCTCCAAGAGAGCGACGAGATGCCCTTCAGGTATTTCTGCTGTAGTCAGTGTCCAGTGCTGTTCTCCAGGTTTGCTGTAAATGATTGACAAAGTCAATGCTTATAAGTGAGACGGGCTTGCAGTAACATAGAGCATATATCTGTGGATGCTGCTGTTATTCTGCAGTAACTATCTGTTAAGTGTTCTATGAATGTAAAGACTGGAATGGTAGTTTTCCAGCATCCCAGTTGGAAAAATACATTGTATATGTTATATTTAAAGCACATTAGACAGCTAGGAATGAGATGAAGATTTAACTTTGTGTGAGAGAATAATCCTCTGTAAAACTGAAAACATTGCACATGGTTTGATTACTTTAAAATGGGAGCAATGGGATGAGAATGGAAAGACAAGACATCACCTTATAAGGAGATCAAAACATTGCCTTATAAGCTGGTCACAACATTCCATTATAAAAAAATACCCTGAAACATTACCTTATAAGGCGATCATAGAATTGGTTCATAATTATGATTTGATTATAAAATTAGTCTTTGCTTTCATCATAATATTGCCTTATAGGTCAAAAAGGCAATCATAACATTGCCTAACAAGGTAATCACCAATATAACCTGTAAAGTAATCATCATTCATTTTCTAATTAAGGGCAATCATAACTGGGTAATCCAACAATCACAACATTGCCTTAAAAGCCAATGCCATCGCTGTATAAACTAATCATACCATTACTTTCTGAGGCAATCAGAACATTGCTTTATAAGGAGATAATAACATTGCCCCTTAAGGCACCACAATGCTACTCTATAAGAAGAACTAAACATTGCCTTTCATAACATCATCAAAACATTGCCTCATGTGGAAATCAAAGAATTGCCTTGTAAGACGATCATAATTTAGAATTATGAGGTAATGGTGATGTTGCATTGTATATATGGTCATCATATGACCTTAGAAATATACAACATTGATAGAAATTACCTTTATTGTCCCAGATTAGGGAAATTCAGGTGTACCAGCAGGCTTGTTGAAGCATTCATATTTGATAGAGGGGTGAAAGAAGAAAGTAGGAGTGAGACGCTGTAAATGAAAGGCTGATTAACATCATAAAAAAAAAAAAACAATGTACAGCTGCTACAAATTTCAAACTCGGATTCAAAGAAATAAGTCAGCCTTTAAAAAAAAAACATAACATGCATATTTGTGCATAATAAGTAAAACAGTCAATGATAATTATTGTATAAGGGCATCATAAGTTTTAAATTTGAGGGATTTTTGTTCTGTTTACCAAAGGAGGGGCTTTTTTATTGGTGAAAGTGGATCTGACCGCTGAATTCTGGGGTTTTTCTTGGTGTTTTTAATTTAATTTAAAAGCCAAAGTGAGTTCTTGTAAAACTAGAAAACAAATATTGTAAAGCCTTGGCAAAAATTTTGACTTTTTTAGCCTTTTGGTTCAATTCAACTAGCCTTCAATTATAGTTTTTATTATAAAAAGTCTGTAGGTGGGCTCTAATTTATTTCTGTTTAACACATTCTACTGAAACTTGTTGAATATTGATAGTTGGCAAATCAAATTTACCTTTTTAGTTTGATTTTGGTTGAAGGTTTTAAAAATATGTTTGACTCTTGTTTTGTTTTGTAAAAATCACATATTTCTGTGTTAGTTTATTTCATTTTGAGTGTTTTAGTCACAAAGCAAAAAAAGTTCAATTTAAAACTGTAATATGGGTCATTAAGAACACATTTTTTAGTCATAGTAACTCTGAAAAAGCTTTTTAGCCTAAACTGGATTTTATTTAAGAACAACGTCAGACAAGAAAACCTTTGTTTGCTTGAATTTAGGGCAATACCTTTCAAAGGTTTTCACTTGTATATTGTACAGAGTAAACCTAAAATGAGCAAAGCATGGACAGATTTATACAAGTTATGTGAAGATATTAGTTTCTAATGTAAATAATAACAAGAAAATAGTTGAAAATATAATACACTGAATTGAAAACCTTATAAAATCATTCATAAAGTTTAATTAAGGAAATATTTTGGTTAAGGAATTAATTAGAACACCCTTATATTTATCCCCATTTAAAAGGGCTACAGTCACACAGTTGCTTTAGATGGAAATGATGATGAACATCTTACCTGAGCATTTTGAGGGAGGTTTGCGCCATTTAATCCTCAGACACTTTGTTTGGTGCCCCTTAATGCTGCAGTGAGTGTGAAAGCCATGCACTGCAAAAAGGATCTTAAAATAAGTAAAGAATTATTAATATAAATGTATTTAACCTTAATTTGATGGAATGGGTATGTTTAGCCTTACAATAATGTATTTAGATATTATGCACTTAAAATAAGAAACTACATTTGTTGTACTCTTCTTATTTTAAATGTACATTTTCTTTTCCCTTGGCAAAGTGTCTCACTTACCTCCTAAATTCAAGAAGAAAAAATATATACTTAATTCAAGAAAAAATCACTTACTTTGATTCAAATGTTTTGCAGTGTAGGGATCTATTATCGATTTTAACAGCTTTTAATCAGCTTCCCTATGCCTATAAAAAAGGTCGACAAGTGGAGGACAATTAAAACAACTGCTAACATGCACAGGTCTGACCATCAAAGCAGATTGGGTAGTGTTTGAAATAAACCAAGCACAGCATTTCAAGAAAATATCTCCTATACCAGCTGTGGAGCATGGAGGTAGGAGTGTTATGATTTGCTTTTCTGGGGCTGAGCCTCTCCAGCTCTCAATCCACCATGAATTCCCTCTGATTTCTCTGGTATCAGAGGAAGCCTGAGATCTTTTATTAACAACTGAGGGGTGAAGTGTAACTAAAACATACCACTAATTGGCTAAAATTTTAGAAAAGCGGAGTCCAGTGTCTATTCAAAGTCCTGCTCATGATGTCTATAATATGCTGAGGGGTGACTCAAAACGGGCTGCTCAATCATCTCACAGCCGGGAGGCAGGACTGGACCAAACTTTCCTCAGACTGATCACATAGATGGTATAAGACTACAAGAATCATCTCAGTGAATATTGAAACTACTAGCTCATAAGGGGAAGGGTGTTGCAACATTTTCCTCTGCAAAAACAAAAAACGATTTGAGTTTATTTATTAATCTAATTTAGTTTAACAAGCTGAAATTCTGATAAGAGTATACTTGGTGGGATTTCCTAATACGTACAAGGCTGGAGCTGTGTAGAAGTCTGACTGCACAATGCACACACAGCAGGCAACCAGGTTTAATCCCACAAGGAAAATATCAGGGACTCTAAACTTTATTGTGGAACTATTTTCCTTTTCAACAGCCTTTCAGAATGAAATACAAGATTAACAAAAGGGGCTTCATTAATTCTCAGGTTAAAATACAGCCTTGAAAGTTAAAAGTTTTCAGAAAATCAAGATTGCACAACATTAAGCAAAAAACAGTAATCTGACATGTTTGAAGACGGGTTTACAAAGTGATAAAAAAGGCAGATTTTCTCTTTCTCACTTCATGGGTTTGAAACAATCTGTCTCTAACAGGTTCTAAATAAAATAAAAACACATTTTTGATTTATTTAAGTTTCCCTCAGGTTTCAACTATAATTTAAAACAACTTTGTTCAAAGCAGCTTAACAAATATAGCTAAGTATCGTTATTAGCACTAAACTGTGATTTAAGGTTAAAGCAGATCCTACGCTAACTCTGTGAAATCCAGCTCTAGCATCTGCTTGTTTCCCATCAGAGCTCTTGTGAGTTTGTGTAGATATTTGTGAAAATTTGCACATATGAGTTGTTTCAACTGGCACTTTAAGCATGAGTTATAAATAAGTCTATTTTTCATCATATTTGTGTAAAAGGGTAGAGTTTTATTCATGTACATTTTCTGTGAAACATGTTGCTTTTTTCAGAGATTTGCCTTAAGTGTGTTGCACTGTGATGTAAAAAACGAAACAGTATTCTGCTTAAACAAATGTCTCAGAAAAAAAAAAAGAGTATGTACAGTTCTGCCATTTTAAGTGTTGCCTTTTGAATGTATGCCTTTGTAAACTTGAATAGCATTCCTAAGCTCACAACATGCACAAGAGAACAGGTGTAAGCAGGGTGTCTTGTTATCCGTTTACAGCTTGGCCTCACGTGATTCATGAAACTGAAAAACATGTGGTTTTATATTTTTTTCCATCTGTGCACACTGTGAATCACTGCCGCTTTGACTTGAATAAACCATAATGCAACCTGAGCCACATCTAATGGTAACTTTTCTATGTCGTTCAGATTTTAAAAAGAATAAAGACAAAAAGCAAGATTTCATGAGGTTTAGGTGAAAACATGTTTGGAAAAATTTGGGCAAGTTTATGACATAATTAAAGAGTTCTTTTTAAGGGTGAGGGACAAATACCTTTTGTTGAGTATCTTTGTGTTATAACAATTTGGTCTAATGAAGCCATTTCATTTGGCTGTCAGAAAACCAACTTTGTTTTTGTTTGCAGCCTTGAAGGACACCTGAATAAGCCTTTAGTAATTTAGCAAAGGTAGTGGCAGAAACTGGAAAATTAAGAAAAAATACTTTATTTTAAGAGGAAATCACTAAGGGACAATTTGCAGAAATGCAGTTCTTGATTTCCTCTGACAAATTTCACTTTGCAGATGAAGAAAAAAAAAGATTGTAAAGATGCCACAGTGAGAAAAGCAAACTCACTAAACTGCATGAGGTTAACAGAAATCCTGCTGTATGCTATTCTTTTCCAACTATATTAGAAACAATAGAATGATGAAATATGACACAGCTGAAATACTATTATATAAAAATATTTTACCCATAATCAGTAATCAAATCAAACTAGCTTTAAGCGATAGACCCACATGCAGAGAACAACTCAGAGACCAAGGAAAAAAGTTTTACAGGTTTATTAAATGTAGAAGAATAACAGAAGTTGGATCTGGAACTCAGTGGACTGGTGAGCCGGAACTGGAAAGTCGGAAGGGGAGATCACAATGATCAGTTCAGGGACCGTAGGAAATTTGACTGAGGCTTGAATATTACTGGTGAGGGACTCACGTTTGATGGGGCTCTTGTCAATCCTTGAATCCAGCTTGTGGGGGTTAATCCAGAGAAGAGGGAACTCGTTGGAGGGCGGACAGAAAGACAAGAGTTGGACCCAGAGGAGTAAAGGAGCGGACTGTCTCTTGGATTTCCGAAGAGGACTCGAACGGATCATGTGGAGGTTTTCCTCTGCTCAGTGTGTTCTCAGTTAATCCTTCCAGGGGAAGAAGGTCCAAGTATTCAGTTACTCAGGAAGGCTTCCCAAAGCTGGCAAACACTCTGGCGCCGGGGTAGTGACAGCCCACTGCTCATATACTCCTCCAGTAATGATCCAACGAGCCGCAAGTGTGCAGGGAGGCCCAACGAGGACAGGGCACCACCTGGTGTTGGAGAGAGAAAAACAAACAAACAACCCACTCAAACT